CCCTCCATCCAAGCAGCGTCTCTGGCCACTACAAAATAACCTAAAAAGCTGGTTCATTTTCCCTAGGGGACTCAGCTATGGGGAGTAGGGATTGGATTGGGGAGCACCTCCAGAAAACAGAGGGGTCTGGGAGGTTCCCCGCTCCCACTCAAAATTTTTGCAAAGAGAGCTCTTCCCAGATCGAATTTCCGCTCCTTCGCGTGAAGTTCTCTAGTAAAAATTTCGAGCGAAACCCATCGGCGGAACTAGTATAGCCTGCTCCTCGGGAATCCTCTCGGCCTTTCCCAAGAAATAGGAAGGCTTTTGCTCGAAAACTTTCACTCTTGAAATTTTAATTCGATCAATTTGTTTCATAGAGTAGCTGAAAAGCTCAAAATCACTCTTGAGACGAGTCGATTTTTCAAAAATTTTCGGGGAAGCTGGGAAGTCCCTCGAAATCCCCTTTGGGGCTAGAGAAATCCCACAAATTCTTCATGACGAGGTGTTATTTGGTGTCACCTAGACCCCCCTAAACGAGGTGTCCTTCTGGCCTCACTCCCCAAAATACTGCCGTACTGAGGGAGATCACCGTATGAGCCTGCAGACATTGACAAATTCCTTTTCAGAAAATATTTATTTTTGAAAAAAGTTATACATATTTTCCCTTGAAATTTTTGGACTTTACAGATCAAATTACGAACGGAATCCCGGAAAAAATTGGAAGTGAGACTGTCGCAAATTTTCCTGAAAATTAATGATATGTCGAAGGGTATTTGGCAACGCCTTATGGCTCATACGACATTCTTTCTTAGCACGGCAGAATAAGTTTCCAGTTCCGCCCATGGTAAGACCTACACTCATGAAAACTAATTGCAAGTAAGAACAGAGGTAAGCAGTTGACTACTTTGGAAAAACTAGAAGTAACCGCGACATCTCTTCCGTAGATATAGCATAGCGTCCATGGGCCGGGCGAGTCAATGACCTTTACGTGACTTCGCCGAATCCAAACGGAGCATATTCCATTATTCTGTATTATTACGAGTTGGTGACTGGTGCTGGTGGGTATCTATGCAGAGGTCTTGCCGCTCAGCTACGCTCGTTTGCTAATTCAGCATAAATAAAATGTGCCCTTTTTCCGAGCGCGGGCAGATGACTCAGCGAGCTGCATCCCAAGTGCTGACTGCATAAAAACCGGCGTCAATTTCAGTGTCTTACTTTCCAACCGAGCAAACTTTGCGACTAACGGAAACAATTTTTTCGCTAGGACAATGAGTGTGCGACGTGCGTGCTAGAAACGTCATGATTTCGTCTTCCATAGCGGTCGCTCTATCAATAGGGTGCGGCGAGAGTTTTTATGAGAATCAGTCAAAATGACAATGAGACGCCCCAACGCTGATACTACGAAAATATATACGCGCGGGAAAAAATTGCATATTTTGAGAAGGGTGTAAAATTGCATTTTCGGTCCCCGCGGATAATCCGTTCGCGAATAACCGCGGTTCTACTTTATCGTGCCAAGGAAAATCGACAAGTGAGCTTTCGGGCGTTGCCAAAATTCTTCCGATAAACTACGGATTTTTAAGGAAACTGTTGGATATTTTTCCTCCAGTTTTTCCGAGAATTTCACTCACAATTTGATTAATAGTGTGTGAAAATTTCGAGAGAAAATATTCATAACTTTCCTAAAAAAATACTGTTATATCAGGGGAAATTTGGCAATTCCTGAAGGCTCATACGGCGTTTTTCCTTAGCACAACAATACTGTAGTTTTATTATCAACGTGCAGCTTAGACTAAAATCTCAATCGTTGCGAAGAACATCGAGTTTAAACACTATAAATGGGCCGCAAGAAGCAGAAAGGAACCAAGACTTATCAGATGCTGCCAAATTTAATTGGAAAATTTAATTTTTTACATGAAAACGGTTGTGTAGATTTTCGTACAAATTTCAGTGAATTTTCTGCATAGCACGAAGCAAATTCCTTGAAGTTGTCAAGGGAATCTGCACATACGTTCTCTTGTAAAACATTAAACCGTCGAGTTAAATTTAACAAGAGCTGCACTAAAAAAAAAGTGAAGTTGATGTAACATTCTGGATGTAAAAAAAGTGTGCGAGAACTTATGAAATGCTGAATTAATCGCTAAGGCAGTTACTTTAGCAATGCCAAGATGTAAAACTAACTGCTGTAACTGGTAATTCAGCATTTTACGAGCTCTCTCACACTTTTTTACGGCCAGAATGTTAAATCAACTTCACTTTTTTTTCGGTATGATGCGGCTTGGCTCCTTTCTGCTAAGCGCGATTCAAACGACCTTCTAAGTGAGCGTTCGTCAATTACATAAAGCGATTTTTCGGCGTTTTCGATGAAATAGCAAGAGAAGAGGAATTTGGTAGGGTAAAATTCGGCAGATCGTTAAATAGATGGTAAAAAGCTCGTGGTAGGCAAAGTATGGTAGACGCGTGCGATCTGGAGCTTGAGAACGGTCTGCACTGAGTCAAAGGTCAATGACCGGAGTTCACCTTCCCTACCCTCGCCCTCTCCTAGCCCTCCCGAGCCCCAATGCCGCCAACCGCGCTACAGCGCTGTTTTCTTCCAGCCGCGTCCCCTCACGCTACAATACAGGACAATCCAAGATCCAGAGCGATAAGTCCATTCTTTTAGTCAAAATATCTATACCTTGAGCTCGCAAGCCTCCTAAATTTTCATTTCTGCTTAATTCGTCGTTCCCCGCACGACGGAACGTAACTCCATTCCAAGGTTGCAAAATTGACTAAAACAATTCAATTTTTCACAAGGAAATACCTGTGCCATTTTTCCAAAATTTCTCTGATTATTGCATGAGATCAGAGGTAGAATCAGTGAAATTTTCAGTTATAAATGCCCAAGATTCTCCCGGTAAAAATACGAATTGCGAGGGGAAATTTGGCGGCATCGGAATGTAGTTCATCCTTCGTGAGGGGAACGACGAATTCTAGCGTTTTACCGCGACAACTCTCATGGTTTTTGCGGCTGTCCTTGGATAAGCCCGTTTTTCCAGATTTTGGAAATATGGCACGGAGCGCCTTCAGTGACTCTATATGGTGCTATGCCATTTTGTCCGAAATAACTTACCCCCGCTGGCTACACGTCGCCGAAGTTCGAGGGGGAAAAATTATTTTCTTCATCATTCCGGCAACACTTATATTGCAGCAGGGCAAAATGTCCCTTAGGGAAGTAAAATTTCGAATTTTTCGACCCCCTCCCCCTTGCGATGCTTCTGTGACCTAGGCTCCTACCCTTTGGCACGGAAAAGGGAAATTACGTAAGGGACCATCCCTAAACTACGCAAAGGTTTGGGGGGATGGGGGTCGCGAGGAAAGCGAAACGTCATTTGGTTTGTAAGTCTTAAAAGAAAGGATTGGGACCTAATTCATAGGAGCGTTAAAAAGGAGTAAGGGGGTCAGAATGCCGAAAAAGTTCGTTACGTGATTTGGGGACAGTCCTTAACGCTCCCCTGGACCTACCTACCGTAGAGTGTTGCGTATTTCATGTGAACTTCTTTCCGATAGAGAGTTACGTATTTAATGAATGGTCCTTGAATGTGGAAACTCAAATTGTTCAAGATTGCGAAAAAACCGATCTCGGATCGAAAACATCGATTTTCAGGTTTCGATGCTGAACGCTCTCTCATACTTTAAGAAACATCAGGTCTTTCAATTGCATCACTAATGATGTTATGAGCGCCCAGGCCCACCTCATAATGGAGGCGGTTCCTAGGTCCATATCATGAGCGAGGTAAATCGTTCCTAAAACTGGCAACAGCGCCGGTAAACTTAAACAGCTGCTTTCTCGGACTCTCCATTTTTTGTCCTTGAGCTTTGAATTGTAGGAAAAGGGTTGACTTTTAGTATTTTTAAGAGCTCTTTGCGCCAAATGATACAAAATCAGCCCATTTACGCTGTGATATTCTTATCTCTTTTTTTCCCTGACACCCTAAGGCACATATTTTCCTGGTGCGCTATTTACTTGGCGGGATAAGTGGTGAGCGCGTTATCCACCCTTCATATTGAGAAAAAGAGGAAGCTCTTTTTGATGGGGGATCCTCGGGATCATTTAAATTTTCCAAAACCACTTGAAGGCTTTCGTTTGAATTTTAGAATGCAGTCCCATTCACCTCTTCGTTAAAATTACAAATGAATAAAACACCTAGATTTAATATCCGCCGACCAACATTTATGTAAATTGATCAATGAACGTTGCCAAAATGTTCAAAAAGCTCATCTTCAGAGGGCTGTAGCTCCGAGCGATTAGGGGTTGTGGGTGAAATTTTTATCAAAATAAAAAAAAGAAAGAAAAAAATTTGTTTTTACAAAGAGAAATACTTTATGACTGCACGATAGCGCGGGTAGGTTCTTTGGCAGAAAAGTGCGTCGCCTGTAACGTCGATTTACGTATCAAGCTTACGTAGATTTGGCACATCGTAACAAAACGTTTGCAGTCTTTAATAGTTAGCAATTATTCGATGAATGGAAGAACCGAGTACCTAATACAAATAGAATACCCGGTGTAGGACAGAGGGACTTTTTGTGCTCAGAGGGAAATTTTAAGAAGCGGTTTCCAAAAATTTGAATTTTCGACTGGAAACATTCTCAAAGTATGATCGGCAAGCGGTTTAGCTCATTTTAATGCAGCAGTAGGCGTGATAGCTCTATCCGACGGATTAAAACTTACGAAAGTTTTTCTAAAAAAAAAACTATTATTCTGAGCCGAGACTCGCTAACTCTCATAATTCCGGTTTGGCTGGGCATACATGCGAGTTTTGGTGCCAAAATATGGGTTAAAAGTTCCTTTAAGTGGTGATGCCAGTATTTATAAACGCGCATTGTGAAGTCTTTTTCCAGAAACGGTCACATGTGAAGTAGTAGGTACAAGACTGTGGGCGTTAGGGACCGTTGAAGATGGAGGATTAAGACAGGGGTGAAGTGATGCAATACTAGTCGATGTGATAACTAAAATCAATGTCAATGAACTCGAAACTTACATTTTGCTAGAGGCTCCCTTATTCGGCCGCTGCAGTCGGTGTTAGGTTAGGTTCACAGCGCACGACTTGAGACGTTGCCAAATTTCCGGACCGAACGCCGATCTCTCCTCGGCTCTGGGCGAAACACGCAAGGAATCACGATGCCGTGCAACCGGACCGAAAAGGAAACTCGCGTCGATGAAATAAGTAAAACGCCAATACGTGTCAATAAACTCAGAAAAACGGAGATAGAGACAAACAAAAAAAAAATGCGGCAAAATTATAAGGAATTCACATTTTGAAAAACGGCGCACGTGGACAATTTCGAAAGGCACAACCGAAGAAAAAAAAACAGAAAAGGGAAGAAGAAAAAATAAAATTTAAAAAAATCAGAGGTATCAAAATTTTGCGTTGGAGGTCACATGTTAACAAACCACACGTCGAACTGGGGGAACAGGAAAAAAAATCACTTTTCAACTTCACAACAACGGGTAAGTATTAAATCGGTAGATAAATTCTTGAATGAAAATGCTCACTGATTTTTAAGTACATGAAAAAGGAGGCGAGGCGGGCCGTCGAAACGGTCATGTTTGCAAATTCGCGAGCTTGGTTCTTGGGAAGTCGTTCGCCGAGCCTCAGGTCGGCGCCCGGTCGGTCCCGGTGAGTAATCAGACTCGCCGACGATAAACACCGATTGTTTCGCGACAACGAAATTGCGACACAATCACTCGAAGTAGGATATATCCAAGTGAATGAAAACCAGCATTCTTTTTTTCTTCCTCTTTTTCAAGAGCATGTCCTCGCGCTAATCCTCGCTGGATCCGGATCGGGCCGGTCGATCGGTGAAATCGAAAGTTTTCACCCGAGACGGGGATGTGTGCGAGATCCAAGAACCGAGCTCATGCCGCTATCCAGCTTGTCCATCTCCACGCAACTTCTCTCTCTCGGAACTCCTGGTTGCCCTTGATAGAAGGAATTGATGAGTCACGACAGGGTAGTACACTGAGGACACCGAACCGAACCGAGCTGAGGCCGAGGGACCAATAAAGCGGTAAAGCCGCCACCGGGCGGAAAAGCGAGAAGGCGGAAAAGCGGGAAAGGGCTAGCTGAGCGTGAGGGACGACCACGGGCACTGGCGCGAATTTCCGAGGAAAGCCCGGGAAAGAAAGGACACGAAAAATCGGGAATCGAGCGGAGGACCCGAACCCGCGGCGACCGGGGCTTACGGAGAGTGGGAGAGAGAGAGGACTCGGAAGAGAAAGATGAAGACGGGAGAAGGAAACATGTGTGCACGCGCTGAGATGGGTACGAGACTGGTGTCATTGACCCCGGGCGGCATGCAGCCAGTACAGCGAGCAGCGCTGAAAAAATGACGTGTTTCACAAGTAGGGGAGGCCGGGCCGCGCCGCCGCACTCCCCGCCGACGCCCGCGGTGGGGACCATCATAACAAAATCCCCTCCGGCGCCGATCCCCGGAATTGCAAACTACGACCCCAGCCCCCCCCCCCCCCCCGGAGCCCGCGATTCTCACGTTCACTTACTTCACGCTCGTACTTGCGAGCTTTACATTAACTTAAATGGCAGAATCTTGCCGTCCATTCCGTGTAAGTATGGTCCATTCATTGACAGGTTGAATCAGCGGTTCTCCGAGTGTGGTCTCCTCATATACCCCGCCGGGGGGTCCGCCAGCCGGGAGCGGAAGCGATTAAGAAATGGCAATACTTGGATAAATCGTGGTTCAGGAACCAAGAGCAACGAAAAGTGACTCTGCTGACAATAACTATTAAATATTAGAGTTATTGACTTTTTTTACGATATTCGAAAATTTTAGGAGATTCCTCGAAAAAATATATTTTGGAATCTATTGTCTTTGATTTTTATGGTTTTTTCCCCTCTTTTTCTTCTTTTTTTTACAACTCTTCAGAAATTCTCCTTCTCCTTCCATCTCCTCTTATATTTGTAGTGGGTATCATGCTCCAAGTGTTTTCCACTACAATTTCGGGTTTCATACCTAGTGTGAATTTTTTTCAAAATTCATTACAATTTTGATGCCGTCTATTTTCCCTCTTTCCATTTACGACGTTTTTACATGAGAATCGAACCAGAGAATTTTTCACTTCACACGAGTTAAACTTCTCCTTATGTAAATTGATGCATAATACTCGTTGACTTAGATACCAATTGATCCTAATACATGAAGAAGAAAAAAGGACAAAAAAAAGAGCTATGTTTAAAGCTATTTATAATTCGTGGGTAACGGCGGCGGTGGACGACGGAATCTGGAGAAACTTCCGTTGATAAGATCGGCACGCGGATAATTTTATTATTTTATGATAATAAATAATTATTGAAAAGTTAACGTCCATTCATACATAGGATGTATTTCAAACCTATACACGCTAACTTCAAGTTGAGGATACCTACCAAGAAGTTTACACATTGTCTATTCATTCTATCGAAGTTCGCGGAGCGGGACGATGTGTGTTTATCGGATAGACAACTATTCGCGCTCCCCGGTATGTTTTTTGCCAATGTGGCGAAATTAGGGCGAACCTTAAAGTGACGATACCTGCCAATAGATCTACGCAATCAACGCATAGGGCGAGATACATGTGTTTTTCGAGGGGATAACGATTCGCACTCGTCGGTGCGCTTGTTGCCTATGCGGCGAAATTGAAGGCGAACTTCAGAATGACGATAACTGCCAATAGGTCTGCGCAACCTACGCATGTGTAGAGCGAGATACATGTGTTTTTCGAGGAGATAACGATTCGCACTTGCCGGTGCGCTTGTTGCCTATGCGGCGAAATTGAAGGCGAAACTTAAAATTACGATAACTGCCGATGCCGATAAGTCTACACATGGAGCGAGATATCGATGGTTAGAGTGCGAAACCACGTACATCCGTCTGCGACGTTGCAGACTTGCGGTCATACTTAATTTTTTTTTTTTTGGAAAACTAGTGAACTTAATTTCTTGATAACGTCCTTGATTTTTCTTCTCTATTGCAAGAATATTACATTGAAATCGCAAGATATATAGTTGACTTGTTTCTCTTTAAAAAGATAAAATAGCAACAGAGATTCTGAAACCCCGCAATGGAGATATGTGGTTTCGCACTTCAGCCATCAATATGTGTGTGTCTTTCATGGATATAGCTTTATGCGCTCCCCAGAATCTTTGTTACCTATGCGACGAAATTGAAACCAAACCAAGATGATGACTTTAGCCACTATGATGCATTCTTAATTGGCTACTCCAAAGTTTCCTGCGCGTGATAAAGGCACGTTTTTCGAATACGTAATTATTCGCACTACCTGTTATGTTAACTGCCTGTTCGACTAAATTGAAGACGAACCTTAAAATGACGATATCTGCCTATAGGTCTGTACATAGAGAGGGATATATGTGTTATTTTCGTGTGGGTAAATAACTATTTGTGCTCCTCATAAGATTGTTTCTTACATGGCAAAAATTAAGGTGAACATTAAAGTAACTGCATCTGCCGATAGGTTAACACGTTCTTTGTTAGGACACAGAGAGAAAGTGGACCTCACCAGAAAACACATTTTACTTTTTTGCTCTGGCACAAATTCTGATAAGAATTTTGAAAAATTACACAACACTGCTCTGCCCTGGAGATAATCAACACAAAATATCTCCATCATATGGGATCAACTTTCAAAAAGATGATGTAAAATAAATTGAGATTACAATTTCCTTTATTCCACTTGTCACAAAAAATGGACCCAACTTCAGCATATGGCCTTATAAAAATCGCTCTTCTAAAAATTACCTCTGCAGACTAAGATCCCTTTCCTCAAAATGTACGGGGTGATCCAAAAGTCCCACTCTACCCTTATAGCCCCTTGCATTCTTCCCCTTTTCAGGGTGGTCCTTTGAAATTTTGAATGTTCGCAAAAGTCCTTTCCTATGACTCAGGCGCACTCACAAAATTTTGAGTTCCTATCTCAATTAGTTCAAAAGTTACAGGGATGATGCCTTGTGCTGGTGGTGTGAGACTTTTGGATCACCCTGTATGAAGATCACTCATTTGAAGAAAAGGCTCCAGGTAATCTGTGCCAACAATAATATTGCCAACTAATCAACAGAATTGATTTTTTTAGAAAATTCTCAAGGCAAGATAGTTCAGGAGAAGACAAGTCATTGCACTTACTTTCTAGACAACCTTTGTCAGATAGTTTCAGCTCCCAGCAGTGGTTGTTGGCGCAGAAATTGAATTTCATTCTTTCAATGAGTATTAGTTCATTTATACAAAACAGGGAGCTCTCACAAGTCAACTTTCTTCGGGGCAAAATTTTTCATCTCCATCTAGAATCATGATGTCTGTTATCGAGAGAGGAAAAAAATGAGGATGACTGAGATGCAAGGAAATCTAAAATTTAATAGTCATAAATTTTGAACAAACAAGAGACAAACAAGGGTGTCACAGCCACTTCGGACATGCTTTCAGCACGGCGTTATAATACATGGACATGAGCATAAAACCAAGGGTACATACATTGATGTAAATATTGGTTTCACCAATATCAAGAGAAATCTCTTAGAAAAGAAGCCATGAAAAATAAAGCACTTTATATATTACCCATTTAAAATTTGCCTGTGAGAGTTTCACGTTATTATAAAACTTTCATTTCTGCAAATAATTCTGTGCACTTTTATTCTTTTAAAACTAATTACTTATCTCTTGTAAGTATGATCTATGATTAATTGCTACATTTGATTGCCTAAGATGAAAAATTGCCATTTCCATTTGATTTACGAAACTGTTGGTTGCGATCATAAATCTTTAAAATATTGGAAAATATATATTTGCGGCAAAATGAAAGGGAGGACGTAGAACAGAGTACTCATTTTTAGCTTTTGCACTTTTAAAAATTCACACGTCAAGGTGAAAAGTTTTCTTGAATCTACAAAATCCTTGACTATTTAATGTTTTTGAATGTAAGATTTCTTGGTTTATCCATGATTTTTCCAGGATGCAAAATGCAAAAATACTTGATAGGAGAGATTTTTTCCCTTTCTAAAGGAAAATAAAATTCGAGAACTATGGGGAGCTTTGTATCAAAGCCTCCTACATAACAATTTTTTTAAAATAGACAAGGCAAACAAAAATATATTGCGTTAGATACTTATCTAGCATTCTGAACACTTCTTGATCATAATAGTATATTAAAACCTTGATTATAGGCAAAACCGTTCATACATCCTATTTTGGGGCAATTTCCGAGAAAATGCCTTAGGCATCATTTGAGAAAAATTTGGCTATCACAGAACAATACGATAATTAATGTTTACACTTTTATCCCCTTTCAAAAATTTTTCGTGCAACAGCGGCTTAAAAAAAAAGTTTAAAATATAAATTTTGAGATTATTCCTTTGTACACGACTTCAAAATAACAATATTTCCAGTTAAATAAGACAATAAACATTTGAAACTATGAGAAAAAGTTCTGCAATAGTTAAAACAATTGATTTCTCATCAGCATTGGCATAATTACATATTTTACATGTTAACAAATCAACGCAACATTACTCATTAAAAAATAACTGCTTTACCTAAAAGACTTAGTCGGAATAATCCATTGTTTTGATGAACTCAACAGCTGAGCAGAACTGTACCCACCAATATTGTTCTTCACCTTCCAAGCGATTTCCGTAGAAGCTATTCACATACTGAACGGTCGATAATAAAGATGGTGGATTTGTCTGTAAAAATTGTACACATTCGTAGCAATTAGTCAAAAATCATACATCTCAACACAACAAGTATTGCATATCATTCATGACACTATGTCTGTATGAAGGGTTAGATATTTTCTGTACTTCTTAATCTTATCGGTAATTACTGAATTATAGATGAAAATATATCTTACTGAGATCAGAATCGTTCATGGTACAAACTAAGAAGCTCATCAGACTTAATGGTTCAGCTTTTGAAATGAAAAATCGACTAAAAAAATAAATTCCTTTAGGATGAAAAGTGTCAAAAATAATGACAAATCATTTTCCCTTTTTTTAAATTCTTGAATCACACCAGTGAAAAACAGGTTTTAGACCATAAGTGACAAATTGGTTAATCATAACGAATATAAATACTATTATTTCACTGGATAAATTGTATTTTTTAAAAATGAAAACCTTAGTTTTGGACCAATGAGTGGAATTTTAAGTTTTTTCTTAAAAAAAAATAATAAAATAAAATAAAATAAAATAAATAAATAAATAATAATGAAATAAAAAAAATTAAAGGAGCATTGCAAAGGTAGGTAAATTGAACAAAATAAAAAAAATTCAGTTTAATTATTAAATATTCACCTAGTTCGTACACAAATTCAGGGACCAGTTCTATAGGACCCTGGACTCCCATAAGAGCCAATGTAAAAATCCGTGAGAAGTTACTAGTGCTACGACCTCAGGTAGGATCCTCGCAACTAACTGCTATTATCAGTTGTTGGACTTCACAAAAATCCGTAGGATTACGTATATCTGCCAAAAATATGCTTATTTTTCAAGAATTCAGCTGCTGTACATATTATTTTTCAATCATCGGCTTCACCTCACTTTTGGAGCAGGCGATTGAGGGGTCGAGGTTTGGGGGGAAGGATCTCATGAGTTGATAAGGATCCTACGCGAGGTCGCCCTGCAATAACCTGCTCACAACAGAATGGTATCCTATTAAACTCATCCCTGACAAAATGTAGAAAATAGCATTACCTTAATAAGCACAAAAACAAGAACAGGAATGGTATCATCAGCTGCTGGAGCACCAGATTCACAGGAGAGAGATAGAAGATTCATTATAGTCGTTGCTGTTCGAAAGACACATTGCAATTTGTCTTTGGGAGTCTTGTAAGCTGAAATTGCAGACAATTCAGCCTGCGCGCTTGGCCAGGGACACTCGGTATGAAATATCTATAACCGATAAGTTACAAAGCTTTGTTGAGAAGGAGAATATTATACAAGATCAATGCATCAGAGATGGTATGAATAACAGATCAGTAAAATATTGTAGGAATGATTACTTCAGCAGGCACATGGAGTCTTCCCAAAAACAGGTATTGTGATATTCACAATAAGGTATGGTTGTTGTAATCGCACCACATATTCTTCATTTTTGCAGACAACCAAGCACAAATCCTTCATAATCTTCTTGCCTGGACAATGGTAGTGATACATACGTAGGCTAATTTTTTTGAAAATTGTTTGTAAACATTTCTTATTGAAACTAACTTGTTTCTGAGGGTTAAATTGTGAAGGGAGTTGGGCCTTTCAAATGAATGGACCTTTAGATAAGGTCCAAAGAACCCTGAACACTCCTCATGGGAAAAAAGGCGTGCAAAATCAGAGATAAGACTACCACTCGATGCTGGAGTTACCCTGATTTCCTTGTTGACACACAGCCGACCATACACGCAAGTGCTGAAATGAAGAATCTTTTTGACTCTTTAATGCTGAATAATTGAAACTTTTCTGGCGTAATCTGCAAAAACGGTGCATAGTAGAAAGTTGGCACAACGACTTTTTATCAGCATTTTGAGAGGAATTGAGAACAATGAAAAAATTAAAAATTGATAGTGGTGCTTTTTCCCATAAGGAGTGTATGGGGTCTTTTGAACTTTATGATCTATACTTTTACATTAAAATATCAGCAATAACACGATTTATGAAACAAAAATTAGTGAAAGTAATTCTTAACCGCAGCATTAATATTTTTCTGATGAATAAGTTTGAACTTCCTGTTCATAAAGAAAACCATTATCTCTTTGAGCTAATTTGTACAATAAACGTTACCCTAATAGTATCTACAATGGAAAAATAGGGCAACCTCAATCTCGGCACTACAGCTATACTGTTGCACATTGTTAACACTTTGAACAACACAGGGCCAGGACGGAGCACTGCTTGATTAGGAAGTCTGCCAAAACCATTTTAGTGCGCAATATGATTCATGTAGACTCAGGTTTTTCTGGAGCAGGAAATTCAGATTTTTCATGACGCAAAGTTAATATAAACGTTCATATCTTGATAAGGAATTGAATTCAGCAATTTTCATGGCCCGATTAATGCTCTACAAGAAAATTTTGAAGAGGATACATGCATCAAAATGCTTAAAGTACCTTGTCAAGTGGTACGATTTATCAATTTGTAGACGGAAAAACTGTCTGGTGAAAATAAATAATAGTTTCTTGATCTGATCTTAAAATTTGAATCTAAAATATAACAAGTGATGGATGATTAAAAGTTTTACCTTAGGAATTCGAAGGTCTTTGTGGCTTGGTGTGATCACTTTAGCTAGTTTCTTGATGTGCTCATGCAAAACTCTGCAAAATAAGTAGAAAAGAGTTTCAGAGAAATCTAAAATAAGTTTTCAAATGCACTAAGCATCATAGATTTCAATCTTTTGTTTCCCTTTGGAAAATCATGAATTTTAGCAACTGATTTGGATTTCAGTTGACTCAGCACGATTTAAGAATTTCCTTGTTGGAGGAAAAGCCTTGACTTTCACCTCCAGAAAATTTGGCTATAAAACCATCCATTAGAAAGGGGCCTCAGATCCAACAAAAAATGTCAAAATAATTGAGATAATGGTTTAACTAATCTTTTAGCACAAATGAATTTACAAAATCAATTGAGTTCAGACTTCTAATTTTCTCTAGACTCTTTCTTCTTTTTAGCTTGAAAGAATCTTAGTTTAATAGAAAAGCTGATTATAGCACATTTACTGCCAATATGAATTAGCGCAGTTGTTCCTATCAGGACAGAAAAACATGACGCTTCAAATAATGGTTAACGTCAATTGTTACAACACTGGATTTTCTACCAATTTTGTACTCAAACAGTACATTACAATTAGTTCATAGGAGGGCCTGCAGCACACAAAGCCTTTATTACACAGCCGAATGATGAAAAAGCGCCAGTCACCATGACCTTTTTTCCATATTATTATGGTTTGTAGTTTACCGATGTTAAACAGAAGGCTCGGAAGATGGCCGAAATCCGAAAAGCTACAGCTTCAAATTTATAGAATAGAATAAAAGAGAATACCTAACACCTCGGCTATTTTTTCAACTCATCATACAGTGATAAAATAGTGTTGCTAATTAATGATTTCACCAGTGACCATTTTGGTTAAGCACGACCGGCAAAACAAATTATTACTATGGCAAGCTGGCAGTGAATGTGATAAAAGTATGATCAGTAGCTTTGAGGGCTCAAAGCTTTTAGATTATATGCAACTTCATACCTTTACTTGACATAAAAATGTATTAGACCAATCGTGACTAATTCTTTCAGATGGTGGAAAACAATTTCGATCAAGAACCTAAAGTCTGCTTTTCAACCCAACTTGAGAAAAAAATTCTTCTGAAAAATTCGTCTGGAAGAGTTGAAGTCCCTTTTCCTATGGACTGCTGTATATTTGTTTGAAAAATGAACACAATTCGTTCGTTGCAGTAATTACCTTTACAATATACTCATAACTACGGTACTTTGTAATTTGATTAATGCATCAACTACCTGCTTGAGGAACGTAGTGAATCATGAGAAAATCACAGCATTTAAAAAAAAAAAAAAACAACTTACTGGTCTCTGAAAATGTCTCCATCGCCGTTAGGATACATTGCATGACTGTAAACTCTGCTGATAACTGCCCTTTCAACCACGATTTTAGCAGCAGAAATTTGAGATTCGCTGGCAACTATTACAAAAAGAAAAGAAAAAAGAATACAGAACACATAAAGAATCATTTTTATTCTGAAAAAAAAGAACAACTCATTTATTAGGTACTCCTCTTCTTCCTGTTTGTTCCCAAATTTTCAGAGTTTACTCTGAAGAAAGGAGTGATAACCTTACTGGATAGGATCTGAAATAAGAGGATCTGAAATAATCTCTCCTCCTCACTCTAATTTTCGTTACTGATTGGTCAAGTTAACATTTCAGATATGTTCCCGATTCATCGAAACAGGGCTCATCATAATCCTGAAAGTTTAGGGATTTACTACACTGATCACAACAAAAATGCGCTCCTTGTCATGTAACGTGGAATCAAGTCCTATTTCACACAGTTTTTTCTGAGAGAGAGCGCCACTCATCAACACACAATTTATTCAGATGACCAGTCTAACACATTTTCAAACAGGTACATAGGAATTTTCAGATCACATTCTCCAATTGACAAAAGTGCATAAATATACAAATAATGTATGTAGAGAAAAATTATTAGAACATTTTTGCTTTCATTTTGTGTAAAAATATTCAAAATTGGTTAAAAACAAAAAAAAAAAAAAACTACAGCTTGGGAAGCTTTACTTAAATTCTTTGCAGGATAGCCCTTGGTGGAAGATATTCAAGTTAATTACCTTGCCATGTTGGATCAGCTTCCATCTGGACAGCAATGTTCTCTAGGAAATCGTTAAGCAGGTCATTCTTTTCATCAGCCAAAGTGAGCTGCTGGAATTCTGTGACAAAGCGGCTCAGAAGATCATCTCGCCGCTCTAAAAATAGTCGCACACAAACTGATAAAAGGTAGTTGCAACATAGCTCTTGGTCCGTTCTCACACGATTCATCAGTCTAAAAATAAAAAATGAGTAATTAGTACAGAGTAAACAAATAGAAATGTGGTACATAATTTTTGCTGCAGGTCCTAAGATAGTTTCAACACGATCAAATCACGAGCATCATTACAGGAACAAAATTCAAAACTTTCATAATTTATTATAAAAAAAAAGAAGAAAAAAAAGCCAGTAAAGTATAAATATAAGGTGTGTAGTATGACTCATAAGCTCTAAGCCTTGAATAACTGAAGGAAGCTGTCAGAGGTTCATTCATCACATTCTATTGACGATCCAGGATAATTTTCGAAAATAATAAACCAAGTTTGATACATAAAACTTTCACAAAATTTCCTTTACTCCAAGAAAACGTGAAAGTTTTCCAAAAATGCTGCTGATTAGTCTCTCATGTAAATTATAAAGTGTGGCAGGAGAGCTGCGACATGAAAAAATTGTGGCACAAGTTAATCAGCTTCAGTTGTGAATTCAATTATGTCCTTTCGATGATTATGTTAGTTTCATTCCTGGGAACACAAAAGGAAAAAAGCGAACATATGCACATCTCATTTACCTTTCTAAATAAGCTAACGAAGACAGCAGGAACTGTCTACTATGAACTAGATAATCAATATATTGAGCTCTAAGAGCATAATCTTCTTTTAAAGCACTGTAAAGTTTTCGGCATCTGGAACAAAAAATAAAATAAAATAATCATACATGAAAATTTTGACGCATTTATTTGACAATATTCTTTGAAGTGCCCACGAATGTAGGTCCAGAATTCAGTTAAAGGAATTTCATTTTGATCACTTTCAAGCATTTCAATCCTTGATATACCTAGTTTGTTTAGCATAAATCTCATCTCATTTGCCACTGCATCTGTTGCCAAAGTTTCATCTTTTAAATTTGGTTCTCTTGTCCACAAGGGATTATGTGATGAGTTGAGAGTTTTACCCATTTTTAGCTCTTAGAGAATCGATGGTGCATCCGAACAGTATACACTTGGATAAATTTAATGCAGTGAAAATTATAAAACTAGATTTACGAATTACACGAATATGTAAAAATTATGAGAGGGAAAAATCTAAAAAAGGCTATAAATACTAACCCATCTCCATCAAAAAGTCTTAATCGGCGAAGAGTCTCATGTAAATGCGCTATAAGAGATCGGTCCTGAAGATTCAGGGCTTCTGCCAATTGCAACTGGAGAAAGCCTACCAACTCATTATCTTTGCAACTCCAAGCATTTCTAATAACAGGAATATTATGCTCATTGTTCCAAGGAAGATACTGAATTTCAGCGGAGCTTAATACAAATCGTAATTTTTTCTTGGTGTCATCAAAGATTGATAGGTCTGAGTCTGGATTTGTTCCTTCGTCTTCACTGCCTGATCTTTCAATACTCTGGAATCGATTTATGCTTCCACCAGATTTGCTGCTTGCTCCTTCGCTTGCTGCATCCTGCAAATTGCTTGACTTGGATCGATATTTAGCCAGAATATCCTCAGAGGTGTCGTTTTGAGTTGATTTTATATCCTCTGGGGCACCTCTTCGTAAGCGAACTCTGACTAAGTTCTCACCTTCTATGATTGCAGTTGTATTTCCGTCAAAATTACAGATACTCGTCTCTTCAATTCCTCCACGGAAACCTTTCCCACGCCGATTTTTGAAGGGAAGTCGGAATTTCTGGAAGAAGCTTCCTCTTTTGTGTTTGCTGTCATCATCAAGGTCCTTATCGCCTCGCTCAGCAGTTTTATCAAAACTGATGCTTCGTGGAATAGCGCCAGTTGCTTTGGGTGTGACTTCTTTGGTTGAAGTTCTTTCATCCATTGTCAAGATAGAACCGTTCGGAACTGGACTCGGACGCGAGGCACAAAGGTCATTATGCATTTTGGGGCGATTACCAGTGCTACTGCCACTACTACTGGTTGATGCCAGACTTGTTGTGCTAACGCAAACACCTGTAGATTCTGGGTCATCTATCGACACATCCTGGCTTGACGAGGTTTGTGATCGATATGCCTGGTGATTTGTTTTCAATGAAATAACATTTCCACTACTGGCAGGAACTGCCTGTGTTTCTCCTGATTGTGCCTGCGGAAGGTTTGCTGAGGAGTTGCTGCTGCAGTTTGGAGCTTTGAACAGACTTGTGGGCAGTAGAGAAGATGCTTGCCCTCCAGATCCTCCTTGAATTAACGTAGGTCCTGCCAAAACGGGGCTTGTCGAATTCACACTAGTGCTTGAGGTATGCACAGGCTCACTGACGCTTGTTAGTGGAACAGGTTTTGGGTCGCACAGCTTTTCCATTTTATCGATTACATGAATCAATTTATTTGCATTTTCATTTTGGTTGGCCGCAACAAAACTTGGCCTGGAATGATAAGGATGATTATGACGAGTTGTATCAACAAATTCTAAAGTGCGTCTACGATAATCAACGCGAGTAGTATTCCTGTTACTGGAGACATCGATGCGAGTTGGCGACTGAGGAACACTGAGTCTACTACTTGTCACGAGAGGTTCAGGGGCTACTGGTCGAAAACTGCTTCCACCTGAAGATGGCATTTCGTCAGGATCTCCACGACTTTCCACTTCTGATCTGGCAGTATCATCTGATCTGGCTACGCTACATGTGTCGTCAGTGTCCACTTCTGTCATCCTCTCTGAGTCAGAGGCAACAACATCAGTGCTCCATGCTTCAGAGGCTGTTTCAGATGCTTCGATTAACTGCGCACTCAAGAGACTTTGCGACTCCAAGTCAACTCGGGGAAAGTTGCGTTCAGATGATTGCTCAACTAATTCACTATCACTGGCCAACACATCTGTGCTCCACGTGTCTGAAATCATGGATACAGTTTCATCAGCACCCGTGGATCCATCAAGCAATGTTTTGATTTCAAATTTTCCAAATTTATCATCAAAATCGAAGCGACTCGGCTTCACGGTTGATGGTGCAGAAGTTGGAGTGTAATCACTTGGAGGACGTGCTCCTCCACCACCTGCTCCACTGACAGAATGCGCCTCTTCACCTTCAATTATTTGAGATGAAGGTGTATCACGGCCAGATATATTTGGAGTTCCTCGGCCAGAGACATTCGCAGAAATCATATCTGAAAGATTATCATTCTGGTCTTGCTCTAGCTCCAGTGAAGAGGCAACACTGTGATTGCTTGCAGCCTCAGATACTACTTCAAGATTATCACTTGTATTTCCGATTGATCCTTCATCGTGGGATAGGGAAAATCTGGTTCGTTTTTCTATGGTCTCTTCTTTAGCTGCCTCATCTCTGATTTGAGCACTTTTCAAGCCTCTTTCTTTCTCCAACAGAAGTACTTTTTGCTCGCTGAGTAGGCCGATCTTTGATTCACTTAAGACTTCGAATGGTATCAGCAAAACAGGACCAAAGGATTTTTCTTCTTCCTCCGCACTTCCTGTATCTTCATTAGAGTCACCAGCACCGATATTCACAGGTACAACTGATAATTTGCTAGAGACCAACGATTTGCCTGAGAGGAAAAAAATAATAAAAAGGATTAGTTTTTTCACATAGAGCAAAAAGGAAAAAAAAACTTTCAGAGAATGAATTATTTAGTTTCTGTGATTTTTTTTTCGCAAATAGAGAGGCTCTATAATTTTCAAACAACTTCAGGCACACTTCAGCAGACTCAGTCAAATTTTGATGTTTTCCTCATTATTTTTGGCTCCAGTATTATGATTACACAGATGAAAACACATTTTTATATTTTATGAAGTTGCTAATGAGTAAAATTATTTCACATATTTGTGGGAGCCATGACAACGTTAAGGTAATGTCAAAACTGCATCTCCATGTGGTTATACAGATTAAAAGGCAAGTTGCTATTCATGCTGTTTGGATGTTAAAAGTCAAAGATTTGACAAACCTTTGCTCAGTATTCCATTTCGCTTGACTGGCACTGATTGTGGACGAACTCTCTGAGTTGGCACCAAAGTTGGAAGTTGGGAGAGGAGATTGCTAAGTTCTTTCCTCAATTCTTCGTCTCTCCCTTCTTGAGTAGAAATTGTCTGGAGGAACTGAATCTGTTCCGGAAAAAGGAAAAAAATTAACAAAGGAGGATCTACTTTGGGCTGCTCATAAAGTGAGAACCGCCTAGAGGAGGCAGGGGGGCTGATACAGAGACACATTACTGTGCATCTACAAAGGGAGTTAAAAAATTATACTTACAGTGATACATATTTAATGGACAGCTCTTTATTTGATTTGTTACAAAGGCATGAATTCATGATTAGAGTATGAATTTCAATTCAGACTTTCTTAAGCATACTCACAAAAACAAGAAATTCTGGCTACAGTGCTTAAAAAATACAATTGGGTGTAGATTCTCTAAAGCAAGGTAATGATTTTATTTTGTTTTCTACGACTACTGAGGAGAAATTCCGACATTATGCCTACACAATAAAATGGCTAATTGCCCCTTGTAAGACTTGCTTATACCATACAATGAAACTCAATAAAAATACAAAGAATCCTCCTAGTAGAGACAATAAATTTGGACACCATAAGTACAAGCTGAAATTATGGCGTGTCGAATACTCTTTCATGACACTGTCTTTCATATTTGGAAAGTCATGATATGCAGAACTAATGATATCATAGTCTTCTGCATGAAGGAACGTATCTTTGTTGCACTGTTTAAAAATGTCTCACTTGCATTCTATTTTATTTGTTTTAAGGAGGAAATGCATGTAAGTAGCTTTACACTGGATCATGTGATAATACTCTAATTTAAAATTTTTTTTTTTGATGGAACGGTGAGAAAAGTCACTTACAAAGTTGAATAATTCCTGCTCAGTAAATAGAACATCCGTTCGAGAGAATCCAGGTAATTTATTAGTATCAATGGTTGGCTCTTCAGATAAATTATCTCGTGCTCCTTCAAGCATATCATTCAGAATACTGCTGACAGAATTCTGCAAAAAGACAAAGAAAGTGAAAACAGGTCATTTGCATTACACTTTTACACTTCAAAAACATTAAAAAATGCCCGTTTGAAAGAGCTTTTCTTACCTTGAGGAGAAAATGTGAATTAGTCTGAATTTACATTACATACATTGCAGACACGATTGATAAAACACAATAAAATACTAATAATTCTTCTGTTATTCAAAAACATATTTGAGTAAAAACTGGGGTTGATAGCATTGCCTAAAAGGAAGAGAGGGGCACAAATATTCTTAGCCCTCCAGTTTCTATATGCAGTAAGTGGGCTTAAGGAAAATTATTAAGGTCAGTGCTACTCAAAGTTGTCATTAAGTGGCAAATCATTGATACTTTGATACCCACAATCTAAAACATTTCCTGAAATGAACTCCCACACCTACCTTTGACAGTAGAAATTGTCAACATAAAGACTTACCAAAGAGCCTGTCATCAAATGATTGTCATATGATACTTTTTGGAAACTGTATTGAAAGTTCCACACTTGGATTGGCTTTCTTTCACCCCTGAAGAAATACACACATAATACACAGACACTTGGCGCCGGATACATTTCGAGATTTTTTATATGATGTTACTTACGATCTCCTGAGTGAGCTTTCAAAATCGGACTTTCTAAATGGCGATCTAGAGAAAATGGGGTCTGAAAATTGCATTTTTTGGCAGGTACACACGCACCATTGAGTGCAATAATGTAAGTGAACAAGGAGCTAGCTCTTCTCTCCTTCTTCTGCACTGTCTGGAGAGATAAGTTGGCGTGTCAACGCAGTTCAGAACCAAAGGCTCCGCATCTTCGACTCAGCTATGGTGGCACTTTTCTGTATGATGACAAGTGTTAAATCATAGAGAAATACACTTTTCAGACCCCCATTTCTCGAGATAGGCACATAGAAAGTTTGATTTTAAAAAGCAGGGGATCGTATGAATAACAAAATTTCAATATTCAGCCGTCATTGAAATTATTTGTATTCTGTGTGTTTCTTGTATTTTTTGTTCCTAAATCTCCATGTTGTTTTTTAAATGATTACAAAAAAAAGACTGGATTTGGATGTATATTTTGCGACATTGCACTCAGCCACATTGATGGGATCATTATGAATTTTCGCAAGTTTGCAGTCATCCATATCAGCTGGAAAAAGGTTCCAGAAAATAAATTAATCTTTTCTGATGGGAGCATAAAGAAACACGCAAGTAGCATTTTTCAACAGAAAAATCGGGATATATTGCAATTTTATCGGCGCTAAAATTGCTAGGAAAAAAATTGCTAGGGGGCCGTATGGGGGACTGTTGTCACAGGTTTAGCAATCCTGCGGACCCCAGCTGGTAGCCCCTGCCTCAAAGGGGGCAGTGGAGATGGTCACCGGCCTCTGGGCGTATGAACCACCTGCTAGAAGGGCAGACAGGGCTCTGAGCTGAAGTGAAAGCAACCTGTCTAGGAGAGGCAACTCCGAAATCAAACCCTGGTCCTCCAGGTTGGGGGTTGAGTCATCGGGCTAACTCCCCGGTACTTGTAAAAAGTTTTACTGTTAAACGACCTAACAATACAAGCCTCGGTACCACTAGAACTAAACGGACACGTCGACAAAAATTGAGAAAACGGACAATGGTATTTGGGACGTGGAATGTCCAAGGCATTTCAAATAAGTTACCGGAAGTGATATCGGAGATTCAGAAACTTGGAGTGGATGTCGCTGTTCTTACTGAGACCAAGAAAAAAGGGCACGGGTCAGAGAATTACGGTGACTATGATCTATTCTACAGCGGCGTAGCCAAAGATCAGCGTGCTCAGCAAGGAGTAGCAATACTTTTGCGGAGAAGCCTACGTAAGTTCGTGGGCACTTGGGAGGCCGTCAACCAGCGCATCATCAAAATGAACCTTAACCTGTACGGACATAAGATCACGCTGCTCGGAGTATACGGTGTAAATGATGATGCCACTGTCGCATGTAAGGACCAATTCTTCGAAGATCTGAATGATGAAATACTGAACGTTGGTGCTGGCAGGGAAGCCATTCTTATGGGTGATTTGAACAGCAGAACGGGACGACGAGTAAACTGTAAAGTTGTTGGACCGTTTGGGGAGGATGCTGTTAATGATAACGGTGATCGGCTCATCTCAATTTGTTCTCAAACTGAGATGAAAATTTTGAATGGCTTTTTTCAACACAAAGACATCCATAAGTATACCTGGGTCCAGCCAACGCGAGGATTGAAATCCATCATCGATTATGTAATTGTAAAGCACACTACTAAGTTGAAATTGCAGCAAGTTAGAGTGTGCAGGGGACTCTCTTGCGGCAGTGATCATCATTTCCTCCGAGCAGATATAGCGTTTCCCGTTAAAGGGATTAAAGATAAAGAGCCAATGCCTGAGCAACAGCAGAGTCAGGGAACGCAAAATCATGAAGTATGGTATAACATCGAAAGTTTGGAGCACCCTAGTGTCAAGGCTCTGTATCGGAAACGCTTAGATGAGAAGCTGGGGGATGGACTCTCGGGTACCACGGAAGAGCAATATCAGTTCATCAAAGATTGTATCCACTCTGCAGCGAAAGAAGCCCTAGGTGTTCACAAAACCAGTAATAAATACCAGCATCCTTACTGGTGGGATGAAGAAATTGAAGACGAGATAAATCTTAAGAGGCAAAAACACCTTATATTTCTGTCGTCTAAAAAGACTGAAGATAAAGTTGCTTACAGGAAAGCTCAGTCTAAAGTTAGGAGCCTCATAACACGGAAGAAGAATGAAGCTTGGGAAAGCAACTGTTCTAGAATTAACACCTACCTAGGGGGGAGAAAAAGTGCTGAGAGCTGGAAGTTAATTAAAGGTTTACGTAGAGACATGAAGCGCGACATCGTTTCTCCGATATCACTTAAAAAACTGGAGGATCATTTTAAAGATCTTTTGACGGAAAGGCGCCCAGAGTTTCGCGACAACAGCACGGACAACGGAAGAATGAACAACTTGGAGATCCACACTTGTGACATAATTAAAGCGGTTAAAGAGCTAATTAATGACAAAGCACCGGGTCCTGGTGGGATTCCTGTCGAGTTGGTCAAGTACGGGACTGCCAAGCTCTTTGAGTGCCTCAGAAAACTGATGCAACAATGCATCAGGGGTGACGAGGTACCAAGGGAGTGGAAGGAGTCTTGGATCAAGGCCATCTACAAAAAGAAGGGAAGGAAGGACGACTGTAACAACTACCGGGGGCTCTCAGTGACCGGGACAATAAGCAAAGTGTACGGGAAGATACTGAAAGCGAAGATCGAGGACGAATGGCAGGATCACGAAGCAGAGGAGCAGGCTGGTTTTAGAGCTGGCAGGTCTACGATAGATCACCTCTTTGTTATTGTCCAGGTCATTGAGAAGAAAATGGCCGTAGCTCAGGAACTGCATTTAATTTTTGTGGATCTCCAGAAGGCGTATGACAGCGTGCCGTTGGTGAAACTTTGGGAGGCCTTGGAAAAATCGAATTTTAACGGGGGGTTGATTGACGCTGTTAAGCGATTTTATAAAGGGAGTTTTACCAAAGTTAAGTGCCATGGGGGGTTGTCAGCGGGATTTTATGTGACTAAGGGTTTAAAACAGGGATGTTGTTTGTCGCCAACATTATTTAAAATTTATCTCGAGTGCGTGCTAAAAGAATGGAAAAAGAAATGCTCTGGTATGGGTGTCCCCTTGGGTGATCTCGAAACTCTGTTTACTCTGTGCTTTGCTGATGACCAGGTGGTGGTTGCTCAAGATCAAGATGACGCGGAATACATGATGCGCAAGCTAGTAGAAGAGTATCGGAAGTGGGGTCTGGAAGTCAGCATATCCAAATCTGAGAAGATGACTTTTGGCGGTGATCAGCAAAGCATTGAGTTGGAGGATGGGCAGCAGATCAAAGGCTGCGAGCACTTTAAGTACTTGGGAGTGCGGTTGACCCAGGATGGAAGGACGGATCAAGCTATCAGGGAAAGGAACACCTTAGCAAGGAAGGCTATAGCGATGTTAAATGGAATCCTCTGGGATCAGCGGATTTCCAAAGATAACAAGAGGAGGATATACAACGCTGTAGTCAAAAGAATATTAACATACGGATGTGAAGTTTGGCAGCTGAAGAAACGGACACAGGATATGCTAAGAGCAACGGAGATGGATTTCTGAAGAGGGTCAGCAGGAATTTCTAGGAGAGATCGGGTCCGTAATGATAGAGTGCGTCAGATAATGGAAGTCGAAAATGACATCGTGTTCGACGTCATGACCAAACAACTTGTTTGGTATGGTCATGTCAATAGGATGACGGAATAGAGGCTGCCAAAAAAGATGCTTGATTGGGTTCCTCCTGGGAGGAGACGTAGGGGACGCCCAGTGAGAGGTTGGCGACAGAAGGTGTTAAATGAGATAAGAGATTGTCAACTCCCTGATGACCTGTGGGAAGACCGAGCTTTGTGGCGATTAGGCGTCGCACAGCGCCAAAGAGCGCTATAAAAGCGACTCATATATATATATATAAAATTGCTAGGATCATCAACATCTTAGCAATTATCCTCAATCTTTTCGGGATAAAATTGCAATTTTATCACCAAGCAATTTACCACAATATTTTCGAAATAAAAATCGTGATAAATGGCAATTTAATCGTGATTTTATCGACAAAAATTGTTCGCGATTTTATTGAACCAAAAATTACGATGTGTAGCGATTGAATCGCCATATATTGCAATTTTTAATGCGATAATATCTCGATATTTTGCCACCGACAAATTGCAATAACCAACCGATAACATCGCTATTTATCGCGATCACTGCTACTTGGGCAGGGTGTCAATAAATAAGACATCATAAATAAAATGCACCTGCAGTTCAAGTTTCAAAATTCAATGAATAATACCTTTTCAAATTGAGAGTAGAGGTCCTCAACTTTAGGGTCTACTTCCTCATAGTTCCTCAATGCTAAAACTTGCAATATCTGTGCGACCTGGATGAGATTATAACGAGCAACAGAGCTGATTGGAGTATCAGTGATACCGTATGGTTCTGGGTTCACAATTGCTGGACAAATGAAATGTGTAAATATGACATCCACACAAATTGCAAAGACACACTTTTCTGAGAACTTTCCAGATGAAGATAGAAAGGCAAACATTTGCCGAACCAGCCAACATATGTCCGGAGGAAAAATGTACAGGTTGTCTCGAATGTTGGTGATAAACCTTTTGGTTATTTCAGAAAGAGTAGCAATAATCTGGCTGCGGTATTCCTGCAATTTTGATGAGAAATCTGCAGAGGTTTCAGGTCCAAATCGCCTCAGTCTTTCTTCTTTGGAAAACCTACAAAAAAGAGATTAATTAGAACAATTCCAGGGCAAAAGGAGGAGAAAAGAATGAGTGTACACTTTTCTCTCATTTTACCTGTCTTTACGTCCAAATGACCCAGCCTCACTGGTGTGCCTTGCAAAGGTTTGCTACCAGCACTGAGCTCTTCCGCTCAATCCTTGTAGGGAATTTTAAGTGACCAATAGAGTAAAATTAGCTCTTAAAAGTGGATATGGCAACAACTTAAATGAGTCTCTAAAAGCTAAAATGGGTTATTCTGAAGAGCCCACTATCCAATTCAACACAGTTTTTTTGACATTTAGAAATGGGTTATTATAGGTTTGACAGCGTACAAGTAAAAGAATTACAGACAGTGAGCCTGATGAGAACTTACAGGAATATCAAGATACTTTTGAAATCATTTAAAATTGTAAACTTGACAATACATTTTTCACTCTGAAAATCACTCTTGCAGGTCCTTAAAATTAAGAATAACAAATGTGCAACAAAAAATTAGTGGACTAACCGTGCAGGAATTACACTTAGATCATAATCTAAAAATCTCTCTTCTTCCATCAGTAGTTCCATGATTGGCTGCCGAAGAGCTGCAGTGAGGAACAATTTTGCTGGAAATAGACATTCTAAGAATGTTGAGTAAACTCGTGAAAATGCGCATGTACTGTTGCGGATGAGTCTGAAAAAACAACAAAGAACATAAAAATGAAAGAATGTTCATTATTGGTAAGAGAGAGGTTTTATTTACCTAATACGAAGATGTTCACCAAGATAAAGTCACGAGTTAACTCGATTAAATTATATCCGCTGTAAATAGTTGATTATAACAACATATCCCTTAAGTCACATGCAGCTGTATTTAGAAAAGGCACTGAACTCTCTGAAATACTTGAAATCATTTGCTACTGAAAGTTGATAAACTTTTTCGGCCGAAATTTAAGCAATTGAGTTTCAACCATTTCTTATAATAACCTATTTACTCTATTTTTTTTTCAGTTTTCAGTTCCTGTTTTATGTTCAGTTGTTAGTATGTCAATCACATGTATTGATAGTTTGCGTAAACAGAACAGTCAGTGACAGATTGTAGGAGAAATTAGATGCACACCATAGACTTGCTGGCCCTCAAATGAGTAAATTAGGACTTCTCCATTCCCATGGTGTCACTGCAGGGAGGCAAAAAATTTCAAAATGCTGATCATTCCTGGAATTCAAGATTTATTTCTCATGGCTTAAATGAGAGAATTGTGGCCGACATCTCACAACTTTTTTAGTTTTCTTATCTGAGGTGATGATTTAGTTGTAAAATTTGATTCCCTTCCAATTTGGAGATATTCCTAAAGTTTACCAAGTTGTGCACATTCGAAGATTGAGCATTTCTTATCTGCCCCTCTGTCTCCTTGTGAAAGAGCTTTTCTATCCTCTTACAAAAAAATTGCAAGGTCAGATTCTTTTCACACGTTGCCTGCCTTGCTGGTCAATTCAACTGGTTCCACAGGAGCCAACCGGTGCTTAAACAGCTGATTTTCCTTTATCAGCTGTGCCACAGGGAGCAAGCTATCTCTTTGCTTTTAAGTGAACTAGAAGTAAAGCTAAATGCGCGAAAAAGGATGCCACCTTTGTTTTCCTTAAAAAATGTATCAATGCGCAGCAGTCAAATTTCAAACAGGCCTTTTTCGTGTGCTTCCGTGGCCTGGCAGGAAATAAGTGCTGAAGTGCCATGGTTAACACCGTGTTTTAATACTTGAAAGGTCCATTTTTATTTTTACAAGTTCAGCTTGCAATATGAGAGAGTATAATTGTAAATTAGGATGTGTAAATATAAATGCACGACTTACCTGGATGGGTTTTCATTAGGAACTATTTGAAGCACAGTTAAATGTTTTAATAATCTAAGGACCAGTAATTTATCCTGTGGCAGTAAGCAACTTCCATAAATACCACAGATAACCGAATTGACAACAGCAGTCAACTTTTCTGCTGCAATTTGATCCCCTACAAAAAGGGCCCATCCTAAGAGCTCTGGCGATGATCTCAACACTTCCAGAAGTTGACCTAGCTGCTGAGATTCCTGTAACAGAGGAAAGAAATTTATTACAATAAATAGTGAAAATTTTTATACTTTGACTGTGAATTAGTTACATAAACCATGCACTGAAAGCGACTCCGTGAATTCTTTTTTTTTCATGATCCTTTGTCTATCAATTAGTCATATATGAGGACTTATCTGTATCAATAGCGGATGTGAAAAATTACCTTTTCGAAACACGCTTAAAAAACTGTTTTGTTCACGCAAAAATTTAATATGTTTGGCTCTGGCATAATGTACAGATCTCGAAGATCACATCTCAAGCATTTTCTCAAAATTTTCCCGATGCCAAAACAGTTTCTTAAATGTGTTTCGAAAAGGTAATTTTTCACATCCGCTATTGTTACGGATAAGACCTCATATATTGCTCTGTTATCAGCTAAAACTAAAAATGCCAGAAAGTAGGTTGCAGATATGTATAAAAACTTTGAAATTTGTACAAATAAAGCAACTTGATTTTCGTTGAGTCATTAAAAAACGACCACCTCAGCCACAAGAATTTGACTGTGAGAAGGACATACCTGATAGCCAAGAACTTTGTAGGCTTCAATGAACTCTGCTTGGTCGAGTTGTGTCGCCCGCTGGCAACATGCTGGAGGCGATATATCCGGTCGTGACAAGATAAGCTGATGTAGGTTCAATCTCTGTTGTGCTGCAACCCAAAGTAGCTGGGTCAGGCGAGCTGACGATACTATGACCTGAAAATAATTGAAAATTATTGATTAAATTGATAGGCTACACAGTGAGAACTAACTGCAACGTTTTAATTTAGAGGGGAAAATTTCAGCAAGAGCAGCCTATCCTCAAATGGATTATTCATACTTCAATTGGCATTAATGAAAATCTTCCTACAAAAGTTTTACTTATAAAAATGTTTCAATTACTCAATGGCCTGACTCATCAAATCGTGAATTGCCACGAGGAAACCAGTCAGTTAGCAGCAGGACAGCACATAACATGCTTCCTTCGAATGGCTACTGATTAATGTAAAACTCAACATTACATGAGCGTGTGAACTTCTCTTACAAAAGGACTCTGATTAAAAATGAGAACAAATCTTCTTTGATAAAGCTTTCAGATCTTCACACTTTTTCATAATCACCTTGCCAGAGTGTCTAGAAAAACTTTCTTCCCATTTTCCATGACATTTTCTACCAAATTAAAGGTAACACAAATATAAACGCTTCTCAGTGACAAGTAACGGGTCAAATCAAAGGGGGCTCGAATTTCCAAGAGAGCAATCATTACAGACCGAGAAAGAGTGCTGCTTTCAAGAATAGACATAGATATGAGTTAACGGAGCTTTTTGAGAACTAGAGCACCTTAAAAATTTGATTTGAAAATATGATTTGCAACATTTCAAGGCAAGAGATCGCTACAACCCTTAACTGCAAACGCTGTCTGCTAGCATTACCATGCTATGTCCTGATCTGGGTGATAATTAACCTGGCTTTTATCTTAGATAAAGGAATTCTACTTTAATTCAGCTTGCATGAAGTAGGTGAAATATTAAGAAGTAATATCCTCAGATTGGCTTAAAAGTAGAAATGTTAGAAATAATTCTTTTCACATGACTCACCTTTTCATTAAGATTTCGCAGATTATTTTGTTCGGAGAGGACAAACAGTCTTTCTTTTCGAAGTTCACAGGCAAGCTCAAGCACATCCCATAAAAATGTGTCTTTCTCCATGGTGATACCTGGAAAATAAGATGCAGTTAATGTTGAGTATCGAATAGCTGAGGCTCTTCACTATCCTAAATTACAACAATTCACTTGCATGGACTTCAGTCCCTGCGTTTTTAGACTAATAATGACAATTGGCCGACTGCCACAGGAAGCACTAGTTGTTATACAGCAATCCAAGGGGCAACAAGGGTCACTGAGCCTGGCTAGCTGGGTTTGGACACCATTTTTAGTGTTCAACGACGCACTGGAATGGTATGGTCGCTGTTTAATGTTCATTGTTCAATCACTCGTAAGATGTAATGCCCATGCATCATGCTCGTGTGGCGTTGGTGTAATGTGTATACTGTACTGGTAGATCTTGCTCGTTCAAGTATAGTATTTTATTTGTTTAGTTATTTATTTAAAAGAAAAAATATTTGCAAGATATGACAATGGAGTACATGTGACATTTAGACGTGCCATTGAGCACAGCTCGTTCGGCAGGATAAATACACCATTTTGTTTCGTAATAGATGTCAGTGACCGATTCTCAACTCTGCGGCTTGCCAAGTGTAGTGCTACATCTAAGATGAATGGTGAACAAATTTCACTGAGAGCTACAGATGCTAATCATGAAAGTGATGAGACAGCAATAAGTAGCTGGTACCTAAGTGTTCCACTAGAGTTCACTACTTACGTATCTTCTTATCAGAATTGAGAGGTGCAGGTTGAAAACCTTCATAGAGAATTCACTCCAATTCGAGTATTCAACATGATGCAGGTTGGATATTATCCAGATCAAGAGATATAGTGTATCCTCAGATTTGCATTGAAAATGAAATGAAAGCACTGAAAGCTGGTTCGAATGCGAATTGAAGTGAATTAGCCTCTACTAGACTACACTTTTCTACATACCTACCTGGACCGTAAGGTTCAGGTAAATATGGACTTGTTGGGTCCAAATTCAACCAGAGACAATTAGTATCGACAGGAATCAGGCATTTACATGGAATGTCTTTCTTCAATGCAGGATGAATCTGTAGTTTATAATTCACATCATGAGATGCGCCAGCGCATGGACATTGCTTACATGAAAATAGGTACAGTCATATGCTGTTATCTCTGTATCAGTACCACTGCTGTTTCATAGAATTTCAAAAGAAATATAAATCAGACAACCATTTCATTGTGGGACGTCTGATCGTAACGGTTCAGCAACAAATGTTCCACATGTGTGATTTGCACTGATCGAGTGTGCGAAGTGTGAGCGCTGAACACCAAGTTATTATTCTTGGATTTGATTGTGAGAGAAAGATTAGCAAATATATTTGAAATGAGTACATAGATAATATACCTGATTCAAGAGGATGCAGGGTTCAACATCATACCAACAGTGTATCAAGCAATTGGTTGCAAAAATTTGAGGTGGCAAGTTTCACAAGAAATCACTTTGCAAAATAGCAACATTGCAGATCAAATGGATGGTTCGAAAATTGGCTTCCAGCTCAACGTGTCTGTACCGTTTTCACAGCGGGTGACAAATGTGCGATCACACCAATTCAACCATGAGAATAAAAAATCGACATGGAGATGCAACTGCAAATATGTATTTTGATGCAGATCGGCCCGAAAGTTTCAGCGTAATGCACCTCCGGGATCTACGAGAAACAGGATACTATTATCATAATTAAACTGTTACAATTTGCTCAATAGTTCTTACGAAGGAATAACGAGAGACAAAACCACTGAGAACCGCACGATTAATTTAGATTGCTGTACAAGAATCCAAATACCAAAAAGTAATGAGTAAATGAGTAATGAGTCCTCAGGAAAAAACACGAATACACCTCACTAGGGATGGGCGATTAATCGAAAAAAACCGATTAATCGATTAATCGGAGCAAAAATTAATCGATTAACGTGAACGATTATTGGTATTAGATTAATCGAATAATTCGATTATCGTTGTCGATTAATCGATTTTTGGGCCAGAACGTTCCACGTTGCCGTCAGATTTGTCACAGCTATAATTTAANAGAGAGAGATACAAGATGTCGAATGGTTTCGATACAAAGCGAGGTTGACTAACTGGGCAAATCATCAAATTAATTTTGAATTGAGATAAAGTGAATCAACCTTGAGTACTGTAAACATTAAGTTATACTGACAATAAGTGCTTTTTTGTCCTTCCATCCACGACCCACGGCGCATAACAAAGTTAAAAGCGTATAAGAACATTCAAATACACAGTACATTAAATAAATGACGTCATTTCGCTAAAGCTTCCCCTCCGACCTAGACCTTGAGCCTTGGGCGGGAAAAAAGTTTTGAAGGGCAGGGCTGCCGATTCAGGGACAATTACCCATTTCGTGGGTATTTTGATCTCCGGTGGGTAATGAATGGGTAATTCGTGAATAATCCTGGCAACGGTGGGTAATCTGAGGGTATATTGGGTATATATTCATCTTTACTAAAATCCAAAGAATGAACCTTTAGAAAATTCAGATTTAGCCGAAAACTGTGGGTGAATATTGGGTAAAGGTAAGGGTGGTAAAGTTGAAGCTGGAGGGATAAACATGCGTAAAGTTAAAGCTGGTAGATAAACGTAGGCAAAGCTGGAGCCGGTGGGTAAAGTGTGGGCAAAATTCGAACCGGTGGAAGTTCAGTGAGTAAAAAATATTCCGTGCGTAAGTCGTGGATAGTAGAATGGGTAATCGAATCGGCACGCCTGTATTTATGTCCATCAACGAAATGCATTAGTCCCTATGCCGGCGTAGAATAATAGCTATTATTCTATGTGCCGGGGCCAGGTCTTTGGAACCGTGGAATTTATGTCTATTCATAAAATTCCTCACTGTACCGCGGCCCCCGACAGCGTAATTTATAATTTATGTCCATCGACAAAATACGAAATGAACTTATATTCTCTTGTATTCAGGGGCGGACTGGCCATGGAAGCGGGGAGGCGATCGCCCCCTAACAATTTGCCGCGGAGGTACCGAAGGGGCCCCCGCGGCGAATATTTTTCGAGTCATCGTTTTTTCCCCGTATTGTTGTAATTTTCTTATCCTTTTCAATCACTAAAAGGCTCCGAATTCCTTGAAAATTTGTTTCTATGAGACATGGAAGGTCGCCAAAAGCATTCGTGATGAAGGGACCCCCGATGAATCCTGAGAATGGGTTATTTTAAAGTTTAAGTACTGTAGAATCCAACTCCAATAATGCCTTTGTGTTTAAAAAGTGTGAAATTTTCAAAATTTGCCAGGGGAGGGCCCCCAGACCTTCTTAGAGGGGCCCCCGAACGACAGGAGGGGCCTTTACATTTAGGTCTCCTCCAAACTTTTCGACTACCAGTCCGCCCCTGTGTGCCGCTACTGCAGTTTTGACCGTTAAGGGCGTAGTTCAAGGGTGCGAAAGCCAGGATTGTATTCCGCAAAAAAAAAATGTTTACCAAAATCATTAAAAATTAAGAAGCAGGAGTAATTTAACTAAACATTAAAAGGAACTCAAATATACAGTATAATGCAAAACAATTTGGAAAATCTCGTCATGTAAATACAGAAGATTCGAAAACGCCTTCAATTGAGGCGTGATACCTCACGCGTTCCGGAGAGTTCAAATAGTTGTATCCCTGCGCCTTAGCAAGGCGATGGAAGTTTAATATTCAAGTAGCGTCCCCGCGTTGTTTTTCGGTTTTCCTGTGCTGCTACCACAGTTTCGACAGTTCAGACCGTAGTTTAAGGGCGCTAAAGCCAGGATTGTATTTCGCAAGAAGAAAATTTTACCAGAAGAATTAAAAATTAAGAAGCAGAAATATTTTAACTAAATAATAAAAGGAACTCAAATCTACAATATAATGCAAATTTATGTCTATCAAGGATATTCCTGAGCCCGTCGAAGATTCTGACTGTGAAATTTATGTCTATCGACGAAATTCCATAACCACTTACCGCGTCCACATCCCCTGAGTGTGGAATCTATGTCTATCGATGACTAACTATGAAATTTATGAAATAGATCCGAAGGAAGAGGAGGGATGAACGACCACTTCGTTATCCTTCTACTAAAATGTGGATGATAAAAAAAACAAGGAGGAAGGTATATTGACATATGACATAGCACCATGGCCGGATTTACCTCCTTGCCGCCCATGGGCCGCCTGTATTTTGCTGCCCTCTTCTCATTCATTTTGAAACATCAATAAAAACCATCAAGTGAACGTGCCGGAGGGAGAAGGGTGCATAAGACGCGTTCACCCGTGTTGGACACATTTTTGCGTAAGCCCTGTCAACACTACTAGCAAAAATTCACGGAACTTCGCGCGAAAGTTCAGTTCCGTAAACCTATCTCTGTGGGGACAAGGCCTTCCATTTGTAAGAAATAAACTAAAAAATTAAGGAAGAACACATATAAATGTTGTTTAATAATTTTAATTTCCGCCGCCTTGCCACCGCGCTGACCACACTGTGTTTGGCGCAATGCGTGAAGTATTTATGTAGTCTTGTAGGCACTGTGCGTTTCACGCCGCCGCGCCGACCGCTGTTGACCGTACTGTGTTTGACGCAATGCGTGAAGTATTCATGCAGTCTCGTAGGCGCTAATATGTGTTACATGCCGACCGCCGCGCCGCGCCGCCGCGTCGACGGCTTCTCCTTTTCATCTCAAGTCCTCGTCATCATTTCTCTTTGCGCCGCGCCGAAATACGACAAAATTAGAAATTAATGAACTCTCAGGAAATGAGAGATTTTGTCAACTTTTCTTGTTCGTAATTTTTTTCTGAATCCGATTTTTTTGTACCTGCATTTAAAAAAAGTGCAAAATTTGCCGCCCCCTAATTTTCCCGCCATGGGCCGCGGCCCATGTGGCCACCCCCTTATCATCCGGCCCTGCATAGCACGACTTTCACCCAAATAAAAATGCATTGTATCATTCATCCCGGTCGCCGGTTCGTCGAAATTTTGAATCTCTAATACTGATGTGAGTTTTTTCTTTCTTTCCTCATTTTTCAGTTCATCGCTAGCTGATTGTATTTGATTTGAACTTGATTCAAGTCAAATTACTCGTAATTTTAAATATTTGGCATGATCACTATAATTAATTTTCCACGAAACATAAAAGCAACGGGCATTTGGGATTTTGGAACATACATAACCATTCATCCTCCAGAATATCAAAGTTACCTGATCAACAAGGGACAGTTTAGAGCAATAATTACAGGTCATGCATAGGCGGATCCAAGAACTTCGAACGCTGGGGCGGTAAGAGGGTCCAAGGACTCCTCCGAGATAATTTTTGACTTTAAAAAGCATCTTTCGTGCAGTTTCATTTAATTTCGTTATGAATAAATACCAAGTATAGGCGTTCTTCCTCCTTTTCTCACGCGAAAAAGCATCTTTCATGCAGTTTCATTTAATTTCGTTATGAATAAATACCAAGTATAGGCGTTCTTCCTCCTTTTCTCACGCGAATTAGCATCTTTCATGCAGTTTCATTTAATTTCGTTATGAATAAATACCAAGTATAGGCGTTCTTCCTCCTTTTCTCACGCGAA